AAAATTCGGCTCAAAATCATGGAATTTGAGTTGTAGGCATTTTTAGCTTCCTCAGCCTCTCCTACAACTATTTCAATGCATTAAAAAAAACCCCCAAAAATCGTATTTTATCCCATACCGGGCATGTTTGTAACCGCCATTTCCTCATAAAGTCAGTATTTTATTTTTCTTTATCGGCCGTTTTCTTAAAACGCTACTTTTGCCTATACTTTTTTGAATAACTCCACCATTTTTCATCCAATCTTCATGAAATTTTTACAGAATGAAGAGAATAGGTAATACTAAAATTATATTTGTTGAATTTTTTATATATGGAATAGATTTTTGTTGGTGGTGTCTAGAGTGTGGATTTTCACGGATTTTTCGCAAACTTGAATGATACCTCAGGAAAAAATTCATTAAAAATTTTCTAATTCGATTATTTAAAAAACAACAGATCAATTTTTTGATCTAATGTTTTTGAACACGCATGCATAAAAACAATCAATTTCCATGAGTGATAAGTGCGGTATTCATTACGTAAGACATGTCAATACAATCCAATATGGCGGCGTATCCATGGAAACGAAACTTTTTTTAATCAAATTTGATTGCGGATTTCAAGACCCCTTACTAGGCTATGCTTGTTATATGTGTGAACTGTGGTAAAATTCGGTACAGTAATAAGCGAGATAGCCTCCAGGTATAGCCTCCCCCCCCCTTTAATGGACCTTACACTTAATTGATTTATAACATGTTCAAAGCTTTTTGTAAACGCGAACTGGTCTTAATCTATACATATCTGAACATTAAAAAAAATCACCCTTAGCTGATTTTTAATTGTTATTTATAAACAGTATGGTTTTCAGTCTGCAAGCCTTTAAATCAAGCCTTTTTTTGACTGCTTTAAAAAGTTACAATAATTAAATGTACAGGCATGAAATATCAATAATATTCAGGTCAGAGATTTTTGCGAAGCGGCTTATAAAGAAAGTACCGGTAATTTCAACTGCACATTAAGTCAGAAACTGCTTACTGACAAAACAAAACAAAACACAACAAAATCCCCATAGCCTCAATGATTGTTGAAATAGGTAGTAGCGTGGCTTCAGAAAATTACAAATAATAATATACGCAACCGAAAACGTAAAAAGCATTCTCCTAAATTAAATTCTGTTTAAGAACAAGTTAAAACAGAGTGAGACTAAAATTGCAACTTTGGAAGCGCACTTCTATTGCTACATTCTATATGAATTGTTTCTGGCACTTACACGTTGTTCAGAATTTGTACTCCATAACTGTTTAGTATTCCGTTCATGAAAATTTATAAATGAGAAAAACTGTTCAAAAGAAGAAAGTTGTATCCAATTCAAACAAAAACGCTCCGCTTCACCGACGCTTAATTCAACACAACCTCGTGATAAAATGCCTGAATCCAATCACATTCCAGAGGGGAAAATCCCCCTTCCCTGGCGCCGTGTTTCAAGATAACTTCCCCAAGGCTGCTCGTTTTCCGTTGATTCTCTTCACGAACATGTAAAACAAATAGGTAGTCGATCCGACAATAAACAGGCTCCGAGGAGCCGGGAAAAAATCTTGAGCTTTCTCCGCCGCCTCTGTGAAAGCTCAACACAACGGGAACAATAAAACGAGACACTTCGCCAATGCCTACGCGATGTTTTCTGCTTGCCAAAACATTGCCTCTCTCAAGTAGGATCACTTAGCACATGTCTCTGTAGCTCTGTGTAAACACCGCGCCTGCCGCTGCGCGCTCTATCAAACGTGGAACCGAGCGGGAACTGCCGCCACTGGGCTATCTTCGCCACCGCCGCCACTACCGCTGTCCGCTATCGCCTTCACTGCTACGTATTGCCAAACGCCGCTGCCACCGCCAGCCGCCCGCTGCCGTCGCCCAAGCGGCGAAATTTAGCTTGGGGAAGAGAGAGGGCGGAGACGGCGTGTGACGGGAGCCGCCATATGTCACGTGACGGTTATTAAGCCAGACGATTGGCCTGAGGGTCACGGAGGAAAGGAACGACTCGGCTAGGGGAAATAAGCATGAAAAGTCAAACCTATACCCAGTTTCAGGTAGGTAGCGCTTCCAAGCCTGTGTTGTCTCCCTGCAATAGTAACTTAAAGGTAATAATAATTATGTAATCAGAAGTAACTGTCGTTGCCAGGACTTTTGGGAGGTAAGAAATGCAAAGAAAAAAAGGCTTAATGTAAGGGTCATGGGTTTGCTAGATCTGTGAAAGCTACCTCTTCTTCAAAAATACTTTTAGTTTTGTGACAGCAATTGTGACAAATCTCCAAATAATTTTTAGAGGATCATTAATTGTTCTTTTTTTAAAAGGAATAGAAGCAGACAATATTTTACCGATGATAACACAAAAAAACCCAGCCAAAATCTGTTCCTCACGCGAAACAGGACAAAAGAGAAGACAAGGCAACAGATCCTTTAAGAACAGGTCACTGAGAAAGGAGAGCCAGAATAAAATTGTTAATCAAAACTCTAATATTTAGAGACATCCCGCCC